ATGTTCTGTATGAATTTCCGTCAAGGAACTCCTCCGCTGGGGATATTGGGAACGATTTGTCACAAAGAACATTCTATCAAGCTAAAGGCCCGAGCAGTGTTTAGTCTCAGAGAGAGATTCCCAGCCGGGCTCTTCAGCTTTCTCCAACTCACATTGACTCAGTCACTGACTGACTGACTGACTGCTGCGAATTTTGGGATTGTTTTTCTTCTTGCCCTTGAATCTTAGATATTCCCAAACTAGCCAGACTTGGAGATTGTTCATCCCTCGGCGCTCTTCAAACTTGTTATGCTTTCCACCTCATCCCTCCTTGCCCCCCACCCCCCCCGCCCACCCACCAAGTATGTCAGCCTGGTTCAGTCAGTCAGAAGTGTGTGGGTTTGAGCTGCCTTCCCACACACACACAGACTTGGAGCTCGCAGTCTAGGCTGATGCTCCAGTAGATTGCTGTGTGTTTCTGTGGACAGACCTCTTGTGTGTGTGGTATAAATACCGAAGTTACTGGGAATACGCAGCAAGTCAGGCAGCATTCATGAGAGAAGAAAATTAGTTAATGTTTCAGGTCAATGACCTTTTGTCAGAACTCTGTGTTGTGTGGGTGTGGGTGTGGACAGATCTGTATGTGTGTGACGCCAATACACACAGGTTAGACTGTTCACTGGGAAGCAATTAACCGTCTCAATTAAGTGTAACCTCAATTAAGTGGGAAGCCCCCGAACAATTAACACAATCAATACGGTTTCACTTTGGTCACTTTTCTAAGTAAATAGAAAAGTGTTTCACTCGCAAAATACACAGTTGATCCACTTTACAGTGTATCCGTGAAGGCCTTTGAGACGTCTCTACGATGTGATGAAGCGCTATAACAAATGCAAGGGTTATTATCCTTGCCTGGGCTGACATCCCAGTGCAGGACTGAGCTGGACTGTTGGAAACGCTACCCTTCAGATGAGATGTCAAACTGAGATAGAGGGAGCTTCACTCTGTCTCTAACCTGTGCTGTTGTTGATTTGGGAGTGTGGACGGACAGTGTAGAGAGAGCTTTACTGTGTCTCTGTAGTTGAAATTGTAATTAATGTAAACATCTGGATATGAATATCGCAAATGAAAGTTGTTTTTTTGGGTCAAGACTTTAAATTGAATTGTTTTTTTGCTGATTTAGATCTCTAATTATATTCTATTTTAGCAAATAAAGTACATTTTCAAAAAAAATCGGATCAAGGTAACGAGTAAATAATGGATTTTCCGTTTCTGCTCTAGGCTTAAAGAGTTTTAGTTTGAAATTCTAATGCCCTGTAATTATTATTTTCCGCGTTCAATAAATCAACTTACTCACAAATCACTTAAAAAAAGCCAGTTGAGTTTTGAAGATCTGCAGAGTGCGTCAGTCAGCCTGGCTCAGTCTGTAGCACTCTTCCCTCTGAGTCACAAGACTGTGGGATCGAACCCCGAGCTTGAAGGGGACTTGAGCTCAGACTAGGCTGACGCACCAATGCAATGCTGGGGACCGAAGCAATGTCACAGGCTCCGTACTTTGAATGAGACGCTAAATTGAACTCCTGTCTGCCTGTTCCTGTTGCTCTATTGGAAAAAAGAAGTAGGGGGGTGGTGGGGTGGGGGTGGTGGGTGGGGTGGGGGGGGTGGGGGGGGGGGGGTGCAGTGCTGCTGTCAGTTAGTACACTGGCCTTGCATAACGGCAACTTACATTGCCTTGGCACCGTTTGTGCAGCAGCGAAATGCCTCGCAGCGATTCGCAGAGATTAATTAGAAATGAAGTGAATGTTGTTACAGAGACAAACGTGGAGCCTAATCTGTGTCAGAGCACGGTTATTACTCGGGGGGTAAATTTGTAAGGAACGAAGGCAGGATAACAGGGGGTTAGGGGTTGGGTGGGGGGGTGGTCCCTTCACATCCACCTGAATCACGGAGACATGATTCATGGCTGGAACAAAGGATGACGTGGGTGTGAGATAGATTGCTTTGTTGCCTTTGCTTCCAGTGCGGAGTACAAGGGGGGGGGGGGGGGGAGGGGGGGGGGGGTGGGGAGGGGGGGGGAGGGGGGTGATGGAAGCTGAGGTTTGTGGGAGGAGGGGGGAGGGGAGGGGAGGGGGAGCCGAGACCTGGGACCGCTGGCGACACCTCGGTCTATTTTAAATAGAATTGTTAGCGGCCCGAGCGTGAGACACTTTTGAGGGTAAGAAACCTATACGTGTTGTGCGCGTGTGTGTGTGTGTGTGTGAGTGAGTGTGTGTACGTGAGTGTGTGTGAGTGAGTGTGCACAATAAGTCTACGCTGTTGTTGTTGTTGTCCGCGGCTCAGGTGGGAGGTGAGTGCTGTTGGGATGGACAGTGATGGCGGTTCCTCCTTGTGATCGCAGGCCGGAGGCTGGGCGGCGCGGGGCAGGTGGAGCTGGGATGAAGGCCGGAGCCAGGAGTGGGCCCCACCGATGAGAGAGCGCGTCGAGACCCTCCGTCCCCTCCACAAACAGCCGGAAACCTCACCATGAGGCCGGGCCTGTGTTTGCACGTGGCCCTGGTCTGCCTGAGCCTCGTGCCCTGGGGTCACGCCAGCAACAGGAGAAACGCGCCAGCAACACGGACACGGACACGGCCTCATCACGCCACGGGAGTCAAAGGGCAAGTTCTTCACAGGTCCAAGCGAGGTTGGGTGTGGAACCAGTTCTTCGTCATTGAGGAGTACACTGGCCCTGATCCTGTGCTGGTGGGCAGGGTAAGGGACCGCTCAACCACACGCCCGCTCAACCACACGCCCGCTCAACCACACACACCCGCTCAACCACACGCCCACTCAACCACACGCCCACTCAACCACACACACCCGCTCAACCACACGCCCGCTCAACCACACGCCCACTCAACCACACGCCCGCTCAACCACACGCCCGCTCAACCACACGCCCGCTCAACCACACACCCACTCAACCACACCCCCACTCAACCACACGCCCACTCAACCACACACACCCGCTCACCACACACACCCGCTCACCACATACCCGCTCAATCACACACACCCGCTCACCACACACACCCGCTCAACCACACACCTGCTCAACCACACACACCCGCTCACCACACACCCGCTCAACCACACACCCGCTCAACCACACACACCCGCTCACCACACACCCGCTCAACCACACACACCCGCTCACCACACACCCGCTCAACCACACACCCGCTCAACCACACACACCCGCTCACCGCACACCCGCTCAACCACACACACACCCGCTCAACCACACACACACCCGCTCAACCACACACACACACACACGCTCAACCACACACACACCCGCTCAACCACACACACACCCGCTCAACCACACACACCCTCTCACCCACACACCCTCTCACTCACACACACCCTCTCAACCGCATACACCCGCTCAACCACACACCCGCTCAACCACACACCCTCTCAACCACACACATCCTCTCAACCACACACACCCTCTCACCCACAAACCCTCTCAACCACACACACCCTCTCAACCACACACCCCCTCAACCACACACATCCCCTCAACCACACACCCTCTCAACCACACACCCTCTCAAACACACACACCCTCTCACCCACACACCCTCTCACTCACACACACCCTCTCAACCACACACTCTCTCAACCACACACCTTCTCAACCACAAACCCTCTCAACCACACACACCCTCTCAACCACACACACCCTCTCAACCACACACCCTCTCAACCACACACCCTCTCACCCACACACACTCTCTCACCCACACACACCCTCTCAACCACACACACCCTCTCAACCGCACACCCCTGCTCAACCACACACCTTTTCATCCTCTCAACTACACACCACACATCCTCTCACCCATTCAGCTACTCATTTTGTCTTTAACACTGGGATCAGCTCTGCTCTGCCTCTCTGGTACAATGCTCCGGGCTGGAATGATGGGTCTCTTTCCCGCTGCAGTTGCACACGGACCTGGACACCGGCGGGGGGAAGATCCGGTACATTCTATCGGGAGAAGGAGCCGGGACTATTTTTGTGATCGATGAGAAAACGGGGAACATCCACGCCACCAAGACGCTGGACCGGGAGGAGCGGGCTCAGTACACCCTGATGGCACAGGCTGTGGACAGGGACACCAACAAACCCCTGGAGCCACCGTCCGAGTTCATCGTCAAAGTCCAGGACATCAACGACAACCCGCCCGAGTTCCTGAGCGGCCCTCATCACGCCTCCGTCCCCGAGATGTCCAACGTGGGTAAGTACCCGCTCAGGCAGTATTCAGCACTGCCCGGGCAGAAGTTCTGAGGCTCTCACCCTGCACCGGAGACTCCCATCTCACGTTCCGACCTCACGCTCTGGCGCTATCAGGAAAGAGAAGGGAGGTCGCTGAGCCAGCGCAAGTTGTGTGTGTGACTGTATGTAGAGTGAGTGTGTGACTGCGAGTGTGTGACTGTGAGTGTGTGACTGCGAGTGTGCATAGAGATAGTATGTGTAGATTGAGTGCGTGAGTGCGAGTGTGTAACTGCGAGTGTGTGTAGAGTGGGTGTGTGTAGAGTGAGTGTGTGAGTGTGAGTGTGAGTGTGTGTAGAGTGAGTGTGTGAATGTGAGTGTGTGAGTGCGAGTGTGTGTAGAGTGAGTGTGTGAGTGCGCGTTTATTAGAGCATGTGAGTGAGTATGTGAGTGTGGGTGAGCGCGAGAGTGTTAGTGCAAGTGTATGTGTGTCAGAGTGTGAGTGAGTGTTTGAGTGCAAGTACGAGTGTGTTTGAGTGTGAGTGTGTTAGTATGAATGAGTGAGCGAGCGTGTGTGAGTTTGAGTGACCGAGTGTGTAGCGAGTGTGAGGTTATCTGTGTGCGCTGCCGTTACGGAAACTGCGAGGGTGGAGGGGGAGGGGGGAGGTGCTGGTGGGTCTGGATGATGAATGAGATGTTGTGGAGGTGATGTCGGGTTCTCTCCCCACCGGTCTGACACCCACACCCTTCCCTCCTCCCCTCCAGGCACCTTCGTCATTCAGGTCACAGCCACCGATGCCGATGACCCCTCGTACGGGAACAGTGCACGGCTGGTCTACAGCATCCTGCAGGGACAGCCATACTTCTCTGTGGAACCTCAGTCAGGTAACTCCTCACCTGACCTCCTCCTGATAGACCTTCTCCCGCAGCTCCTGGTGTCGGCCCTCACCCTGGCTCTCACTGCACAGCTCATGGTCAGAGAATGATAGACATCACAGTAACAGGAGGCCATTCACAGCACATCAGGCCTACCCCATTCCTCGTCTCCTCTCGCGCTCTCTCTCTCACTATTTCTACGTCTACCGCTCTACTTTTTGTCTCTCTTTCTCTTCTCTCTCACTTTCTCTTCTCACTTTGCTCTCACTCTTTCTCATCCTTTCATCCCTCCCTCGCTCTCTCCCTCTCAATCTTTCTTCTTCTCTCTGTCTGTATCTCTCTCTCTCTCTCACTCTTTCTTTCTTCCTTTTTTTAATCTCTCTCTTCCTCTCTCACTAGTGTGTGTGTGTTGGGGGAGAGGGGGTGATATGAAGATGATGTGTTAACTCCCTCCCCTCATGGTGACCCTTTGCTTTGCTCTTGTCCCGCAGGCATTATCCGGACGGCTCTCCCCAACATGGACCGGGAGGCCAGGGAGGAGTATCAGGTGGTCATCCAGGCCAAGGACATGGGGGGCCACATGGGGGGGCTGTCGGGGACCACCCAAGTGACTGTCACCCTGACCGACGTCAATGACAACCCCCCGAAGTTCCCCCAGAGTAAGAGCCGTTTCTGTCCCTACCCGAGGACATCCAGCTTGCTTTAGTCAAACAATATTTTGCATTTCTATTTTGGGTGGGGGGGATCGAACAAATAAAGTTAAACCAAGCTCCCTATCTGCACCGTCCAGCCAGATGATAAAGATCTCCGCAGCCCTCTCTCTCTCTCTCTCTCTCTTCCGGGGTTCTGGCCGACAAATCCAGCCCCCCGCCCCACCCCGATAGAATCGGTCACACACTTCATGGCTGTCTATGGAATGTGCCTTGTGCAAACAGGCTGCCTACAAGGTAACACAGTCACTACACTGTACAGTAAACCCTGCGAAGTGCGTTGAGATGTCCTCGTGAAGTGCGAGGGGCCATATCAAATGCAGGATTATTGTTATTAATTATTATTTTTTGCTCCCCCCCCTCCCCAGGTGTGTACCAGATGTCTGTGTCAGAGGCAGCAGTCCCCGGGGTGGTGGTAGGTCGGCTGAACGCGAAAGACAACGATATTGGTGAGAACGGGATGGTCTCCTACAGCATCATTGACGGGGATGGGAAGGAGTTCTTCGAAATCAGCACCGACTCCCAGACTCAGGACGGTGTGATCAAGCTGAGAAAGGTACTGAGCACCTCAACAACAACAACAAATTACTTTTATTTAGCACCTTTCACGTCAGGAGGACTTCCCCAGGCTCCTCGTACACAGGCAGGAGTCACTCCAACCTCAGTCAGGGTAGCAGTTACACAGGAGAGTTCCCGAGCTACAGGGTAGCTTTCAAAAGGGAATTGGGATAGGTACTTGCAATAGTCCCTTCAAAGCAAAAATAATTTAAAAAATTTGGTCACTCAATCCACGGCTGTTTGTGGGGACGCTGCTGTCCGCAATGGGCTGCCGCGTTTCGCCCACAAAGTATAGTCAGTTCACTTTGCCGCGTATTCTGTGGAGGTCTTTGAGATATTCGATGGCATGGTAAGGTTTTACATAAAATGTAAGAATTATTATTATATTATTATTATAACATTACACCTGACCTGGCAGAGTGTGGGGCAGATTCGAAACACAGAGTGATCCATTATTTCAGAATTTCCAATCATCGCCCTAATTAGAGCAGCCAGTTTCTATGTAAAACCTGCACTAATCCTGCCATCTGCTTGTCTCTCCTGATCACATGTGAGATTCAGCGCAGTAATCTCAGCCGTTATCTCACAGTAATCTGTATTTGATTCTGTATTAAAGGAGTTGTTTTAATTTCTGATCCTATCAGAAACAATAGTGTCTCTCTATCACTTCCTTCCCTCCCTCCCTCCTTTTTTCCTCCTTTTTTCCTCCCTTCCTCCCTTCCTTCCTTCCTTCCTTCCCTCCCTCACTCCCTTCCTCCCATCTGTCTCTTGACAAATCTCTCAGTGTCTGTGTGTGTGTCTCTCTGTGTCTCCCTCAGCATCTCTTTCTCTCTCTGTCAGTGTGTGTGTGTGTGTCTCTCTTTCTCGGAGTCTTTGTGTCTCTCTCTGTCTCTCTCTCTCTCTCTCACTAACACGGAGTGTGTTGTCGCCCACAGCAAGGCCTCGACTTTGAGACCAAACGCTCCTACTTCCTGCGTGTGGAGGCCAACAATGTGCACATTGACCCTCGCTTCCTGAGCCGGGGGCCGTTCAAGGACACGGCGACGGTCAAGGTGTCGGTGGAGGATGCTGACGAGCCCCCCACCTTCTCCTCCCCTGCCTACCTGATGGAGGTGGACGAGGGTGCCCCCTTCGGGACGGCGGTGGGACAGGTGCGAGCCGTGGATCATGACCTCGGCCATAGTCCCGTCAGGTACGTCGATCTCTACCCGGGTAATCGGGGAATATTCCAGAACAAAGACCCGAGCTGCTCTGCCCGATCCAGTGACGTGACTGTCCCAACACTCGTCAACCCTCACCCTCACCCTCACAGAGAGCTTCTCCCCCGAGCCCTGTCTGCGTGCTCTGCCCTGAGCTCTATGTGGCACTATTTCTTAACGGCGTTCCTTAATTTCCTGCGGATCAACCGGGAGCAGTTCCTGTTGCTGGGAGGAAGCCGGGATTCACCCCCCCGCCCACCCGCGCTGGTTATTCCCAACCCAGAGCTTTCCCGGGATTCTGGGCTGTCTTCAATCCCGAGGCAGGGGCTGGGAGTCGGGGGAATTCCTGGCCTCGGGAGAGAGATTGCTGTGATCTGGCTCCTCGGAATGGTCTGAGGGTGAAACAGGGCAGAGGGCGTATCTCGCGCTGGGAGAGGGGTGTCAGCTCTGTAGTGTGGAGCTGCACAGCTATGGCTGGAGGAGATTTGTACAGTGTATAATGAGCTAAAGAGTTTGTCACATCCAGGAATAGACTGACAGCAAATGTAAGATTCTGTTTCTGGAAGAAAGTCGTGGGCGTTTGAGAGCGACAGAGAGAGACGGAGAGCGCGGGCTGTCTGTCTCTGAGGCTCACGTGTAACTTGCCGGGTCTTGCCTCTTGTTCCCAGAGATTAGAGAGAGACAGAAATGGAGAGAGAGTGAGAGAGAGAGAGAGATACACACCACAGACAGAGAAAGAGAGACACACGGACAGACAGACTCATACACACGGACAGAGAGACACACACCAGAGAGACAGAGATAAACACACAGACACAGAGAGGGACGCAGACAAAGACAGAGAGACACAGAACCAGTGACACAAACAGAGAGAGAGAGAGAGAGGACAAGTGACAGATTCCTTTCTCCACATCTCAGAAGCTTAGCCCCTCCGGCCTCTGGGCCTTTCCCTCTGTGTAATTTCTCCTCTCTCCTCTCCTCAGCTACAAAATTGATTGGCACAACGACTTTGACAGATATTTCAGCGTCGAGGCAGAGAGCGGGGTGATAAAGACGGTAAAGCCGCTGGACCGGGAGCTCACCGCCTGGTGTAACATCTCAGTGATTGCCGAGGAAGCCAGTGAGTGCCCCAAGCTCCGTCACCCTCCACTCACGTCACCATCTATCGCGACGCGCCTCTCAAAGCGCCGCACAGTGAGGTGCAGTGACTGTGTGCTTTGCAGGCAAAAGAGGCGGCCGATGTGAGCACAGCGACGTCCCCGCAAACAGCCGTGAACTGAACGAACGATTTTAGCTGCGAGCCAGGACAGGACACTCACATCACGGCTGTTTGCTGGGACGTCACTGTGCGCAAATTAGCTGCCTCTCCCTCTACACCCCCCCACCCCCACCCGATCAGATACATCAACTCTAACATGAGGTGGACTCTTTGACCTCCCTGCAGTGTCTGGCTGATGCGAATTAACAGCAACAACAAGATTACATTTGTACAGCGCCTTTCACGTCGGGAGGACGTCCCAAGGCGCTGAATCTACGGCTTTGCATCCAGAGATCGTGTATATATCTTGGAGACCAGGAAGTGTAACCTTTGCTGATTCCCTCCCTGCCCACTCCCCCCACCCCCCACTGACCCTATATCTCTTGCCTCGTTATTATATGAACCTATTGCTCTGGGTTTATCCCTTTTACAATCTGAACCACCGCCAGAATGTATAAATAGCCCAAAGGAAAGAGAGAGAGAAGTAACCCATTAACAGTGTAATAAATTAGTGGTTTCATTATTCTGACACTATTTCCCCCTCCCCCCAGCTTTCCCCCCCTCCCCCCCCGGGGAATCGTTCATTAAATTCCTCTCTGGCTGTGTGTGAGGTAGCGAGACAGAGCTGGCTGCCATCTGACAGAGTTATAGATTGGACATGAAAATCTAGCCACTTTCTCTGGAGATTTGAGTTTAAAAATGCACTAAAAATGTCAGCGAGCGAGCGAGAGAGTGAGAGTAGCGCTGGAACCCATCTGGGCAAAGGCAGAGCAGGCGAGTGGGTAACGTGGAGGAGGACAGAGCCCACTGAGCAGAGGGAGCGCTCAGGTTGGTATGGAGTTAGCAGATCGCAGAGGTAGGGAGGAGCAAGGCCGGGGAGGACTTTGAATAAGAAAAGGATGAGGGTGGGGGTTGGTGTCTGACTGGACTCAAGTGTTCTCTACTCCGTTCTGAAATAGTTAAGCTCCCGGATGTTATTACTGGAAGGAATCAGAAGGTCTTCAGAAGCCGGCTGACTCCCGTGAAAACCTGGAGAGGAAACGGGATAACATTCTAAATCCTTTTTTGCGAGGAATTCAATTTCTGTTTCGTCTCCTGGCCCCGGGCCCCCCTCCCCCTCCCCCACCGCCGGTCGTGATCATTATTAGACCCGCAGAATGTTCAGGCTTTATCAAACGCAGGGATTATTATTATTATTATTGTAATAGGAGCCTGGAGAGTGATAGTCTGACTGTATCAGTGTGGGTCCCCCTGCTTCAAACAACCCCATCTGTCCCTCAATCCAATTTCCCCACTCTTTCTGGTGCAGGCGTGGGGGGAGGTGGGGAGGTGGGGGTCAGTATGGATGGAGGGGAGGGTTACGTGTAGGGGCGCTGAGACCAGCTCTAAGTCCAAGTTGGCAAAAACAACCCATTTCTCACCAGAACAAAAGGCTGGATACAACAACAACAAGAACAAGATTTCATTTGTATAGCGCCTTTCACGTCGGGAGGACGTCCCAAGGCGCTGGATACTGGCGCGAGAGAGAGAGAGAGTCTGGCACAGCTTATACATTAGGATCTCAATGATGACACTCAATAAACCCAACACATACAGCACAGTCTGTCACCCCCCCCCCACCCTGACACACACTGCGAGTACAAGCATGCGCTCCATAAACACAGCTCCAAGGCATCCCATCCCGTCTGCAAGGATTATTATTATTATAATTATAATTATTATATTGTTTAATTCCCTTCCAGACAATCCACTTCAGACCTCCAGCGCCAAAGTGTCTATCAGAGTGCGTGACATCAACGACAACGCACCTGAGTTTGCTGAACCCTACAAGGCCAATGTCTGTGAAAATGCCAAGCCTGGCCAGGTCAGTGCCGTGACCTCAGCCACACTGCTCTCCAAGCCTCTGCTTGTCACCCACTGTTTTACACTTCATCGCACTTCCCTTTCCCAGGCTGCGACTCTTCCCACTCCCCTCCCTCCGCAAGCAAAAGCCCTCACGGGTCGGGTGGTCTTAGCTGGATGAGCAGCAGCGATATCAATGGTTTTAGCTGGTTTAGCTCTTTCCTGTTCTTTCTCACTTACTTTCTTTCTCACACTCTCTCTTTCTCTGGTTCTCTCTCTCTCTTTCTCTGGTTCTCTCTCCTCTCTTGCGCTCTCTCTCTCTGTTTTTCTCTCTTCTCTCGTGCTTTCTCTCTCTAGTTTCCTCTCTTGCTATCTTATTCTCTCTCTGGTTCTCTCTCTCTCTCTCTCTCTCTCGCGCGCTCTCTTGCTTGGGGATAGGGTTACAGAGCAGCTCCCAGCCCAGGGGCTGAGCTTGTGGGGGTAAGGGGAGGCTCCTGTCCACCTGCCGCAGTGAGTGGCATAACAAGCCTCACATTTAACACATCAGATGCTGTGTGACCACTTGTGGCTGTTGATTGGGGTTGACGTCTATTCCCCCCACACTCTCCGCCAGAACTTTTTGAATTGCTCCACGTCAGGTTCTCAGTTGATCTCGAATTCCCCAGCAGCGTAAACACGTCCCTCTCTCCTTATTTCAGCTTATCAAGACCATCCGTGCTGTAGACAGGGATGAGAGCGCCAATGGTCCCTGGCTGTCCTTCAGCGTGGCTCCCAACCGCAACTTCACCCTCCAGGACAACAGAAGTGAGTTGCTGCCCCACATGTTAGCACCAGCCTGAGAAACGTGGTGCGACTAACAATAACTCGGAGCTAAGTTAGCGTGTGGGGGAGCTGTTTGTGAGTCAGTGTGAGAGGCGTTTACTCAGTGACACCCCCTGTGGCCCTGTCTCAGGTCATTACGGTCACCAGACTAATTAGAGAACCATATTCCACTTCCTCACCAACTGCGATCGGTGGATAATAACAGCTTAACGTCGCTCATTTGGACCAGTGAGAGGCTGATGAGGAGCTGCCCTATATATCCATCCATATGTGTGTGTGTATGCTGTAGGTATGTGTGTGAGTGTGACTCAGTCAAGTGAATGGGACCTTTGAGATTCCCTCATATTTTCGATATAATTATCTGCATAATGGGCTCAGTGCGTTACAGTTATGGTTTGTCAGAGCGAAGTTTCCTTGAGAGAAAGAGAGAGAGAGAAATAGGACAAAACGATATTGCCAGAGCGCGTAGTTTACAAAGTGCTCCGTGCGGTTGGGGGTTAGTCTGAGAGACTCTGTCTCCGTGCAGAGACAGACGCGGTTTAGGCCAGAGCGCTCCCTCGCCCGCTCAGCTCTGCCTCGGTCTCCGGCTGCTCACTCTGCGCTGACTGTGAGCACTGTAGAAGGGAATAATTGCATCATGGTTTTCACTTAGAATCAGGAGTTCTGCAATGGCTGCTTTATAGTGAAAACCAGAATGTAATTGGAAGGTAAAGGGGGTCCCCCTCAGAGCTGAACTGGCTCCAAGGTGACATGTCTGGCAATGGAATATTGTAAATCGACCCGGCTTTGATTCCCGGGCCGGGCAAAACCTTAGGCAGGTTTCCTCACTCCGCACACCTCTGTTTACCCATCAGCAAGTAGGAACCTGCTTGTTAGTTGATTGGCGGATCGCTTTCCGGGGTAATAAGCCCTCCTCCTCCAAAATAAATCTGGTCACTCAATCCATGGCTGTTTGGGGGACGCTGCTGTGCACAATTATCAGCCCTGTTTCATCCACAGAAATGCAAAGTCACTCCACTTTCCAGTATATCCTCTGAAGCTCTTTGAGACGTTTCAATGACATGATAAGGCTCTATATCAAATGCAATTATTATTATTATTATTGTTATTATTTGCCTGGTGTGTAATTAAGAGGTTGATAGTCCTGTGAGGAAGTGACTAATTCAGAGGGAAAGGCTCAGAGGCTCTCAGTAGAGAGGCCTGACCCGCAGTCACCACTGACAGCCCTGTGTCTGTGACCCGGAGCAGATAGATTGTGGCACTTTATTTGACACGTCCCATCAGTTAATTAAACGTCGCCCTGATTAATGACTTCAGACACCCAGAACTGTTAATCCAGTGTGAACAGACTCTGGAAGCTTCAGATCATTTTTTCTCTCTCCCTGAGGTTTTAAGTTAAGATGAGAGGCCTATACATCCCACCCACACACTGGGTTTGAGCCCCACATAAGGCCTTAATTACATTGTCTAAGCTGACGCTCCAATGCCACGCTGGGGTGTGTTGGATTGTCAGAGGTGCCGACCTTCAGATCAGGTGTTAAACAAAAGTCCTGTCTGTGCCTCTCAGGTGGATGTTAAAGATCCTACGGCACTACTCGAAAAGAGAAGAGCGTTTCAACAATCCCACAAATAAAATTGGTCACTCGCTCCATGACTGTCTGTGGGAAACTGCTGTGTGCAATTGGCTGCCACGTTTCACCCACAAAATACACAGTCACAGTAACAGAGGCTGACGCTCGCTGTGTTTTCCCGGCAGATGGCACGGCGGGTGTGAGGGTGCAGCTGGGTGGGTTTAGCCGTCATGCCCAGGACCTGTACCTGCTGCCGGTGGTGATGAGGGACGGGGCTCGCCCTCCCTCACCGGCACGGGCACACTCACCATCCAGGTGTGCAGCTGTGGCCGGGAGGGCGGCCTGGAGTCCTGCAGCGCTGAGCTGGCCACGCAGCACGCTGGCCTCAGCACCGAGGCTCTCATTGCCATCCTCGCCTGCATCGTCATCCTGCTCGGTGAGTCCCACACCCACCAACGGCAACCGGTAACCCTGCCGCCTCTCTCCATCGGCTACCGTCACCGCATCCCACCACTGATCACCACACCACCTCTCGCCGTCCTGGTCAGCGGCCACAAACACTGCTCAGGTTGGGATGGGCCGAGAGAGAGAGAGAGATAAGGGGGGATAGACAGAGAGTGGGGATGGTGGGGGGGGTGTGGGGGAGGCGCGGGGGTGTGGGTGGTGGGAGAGAGAAAGGAGGATAGAGAGAGGGGGAGGGAGAGAGAGAAGGTATATATATATATACGGAGAGAGAGAGAGAGAGAGAGTGATGGGGACATAGACAGAGAGTGAGAAGGTGGTGGGGGAAGAGAGAATGGAGGAGAGGGGGAGAGAGAGAGAGAGAGGGAGGAGAGAGATGCAGTGGGCACGTGATTTGGACCGGGTTAGATTTACTGACCCCCATTTAATGAGCCCATTACAGCCATTAACTCGTTATTAACCTCTCTGATGGAGGGCTGTTGGCTGTGGGACTTTACGAGCTAACGACCCCGTCTCCCCCCCCCGCCCCCCCCGCAGTGATCGTGGTGCTGTTCGTGACGCTGCGGAGACAGAAGAAGGAGCCACTGATCGCCTTCGAGGAGGAGGACGTGCGGGAGAACATCATCAGCTACGACGACGAAGGCGGAGGGGAGGAGGACACCGAGGCCTTCGACATTGCCACACTGCAGAACCCGGACGGGCTGAACGGCTTCCTGCCGCGCAGGGACATCAAGCCCGAGCTGCAGGGCGGGCCCCGGCCCGGTGCGGCCCCCGCCCCCAACAGCGTGGACGTGGACGAGTTCATCAAAGTGCGTCTCCACGACGCGGACATCGACCCCACGGCCCCCCCCTACGACTCCATCCAGATCTACGGCTACGAGGGCCGTGGCTCGGTGGCCGGCTCGCTCAGCTCCCTGGGCTCCGGCAGCGCCGAGAGCGACCTGGACTACGATTACTTGAACAGCTGGGGGCCGCGCTTCCGCAAACTGGCCGACATGTACGGCTGCAAGGACTTCTGCGAGGACTCGTAACGGAGACGGTTTCAACGGGGGGGCGGGAGGAGAGAAGGTGGGGTGGGTGGGGGGGGGGTGTCTCGTCCTCAGCCTCAGCTTCCCCGGGGTGTGTGTGTGTGTGTGTGTGTGTGAGGGTTGTGGTTCTCAGTCTCCCTACACAGGCTGAGGGCTCGTATAGACTTCTCTCTCTCTCTCCTCTCTCTCTGTCTCCGGACAGGATTGAACCTGGGCGGGTGGATTTTACGCACATTCATTGACTCGCTCGCTGGCTACTTGTTTGGGTGGAAAACCGGACGGATTTTATTTCCCCTCGGGTTTGCTTTGCGCTCTCGCTCTCGTGGATATTTTCATCTCTCTCGCTCGCTCACTCGCTCGCTGAAAATACAAAACAATAATGACCCACCTCCCCCCCCCACCACACACACACACACACACATGCGTACACATACACCCACCACCGTCTCCTCTCTGTCTACTCACTGCGATGGGGTGAGGCCAATGACAACAACAAAAACAGCAACAACAAGACCAACAACAAGAGTTTGTGTTGATACAGCGCCCTTCGTGCAGGATAGCGCCTCAGAGCGCTGATGTGATGGGACGAGTTGGCGCCTATTTTTCCCGTGACTTCTGTATGTCAGAGTGAGACACTGTGAAGCCAAACCTGTCCCCCACCCGACCAGCGAGTGACTATGATGATACCAGCGATTGTTTCAAACTGGAGTGGCGGAGGGGGAGGGGGGAAACAAGGACATAATGAACCCCCACCCCCTTCACAATCACAATCCACCCCCCCATTCCCCCTTTTTTCCCTCAGTCATATGTTAAATGTACCAGCAGCAAATACAATGCTTTGTGGATGGACGGACAGATGGGCAGATGGATGGAGAGCAGTGGATTGGGATTTTCCTGGGATTTTTCCTGCTTGTTGGTGGACTGGAAACGGAGTGCTCCCCCTCTTCCTCCCTCCCTCCCTCGCCGGCCACCACCGCACCATGATGTCGCAGCGCTAATGGGAACGGCGAGACTGAAATCGGCAACATGGGAGAGTCCCATGGATGGAGCCTGGTACCCACTGATCTGCCACTATCCTGGGAGTGGGGGGATGTTGAGAGGAGGGGTCGTGAAGTGGAATTGCAACCACCATTCGCCCTGGGAAATCTCGCCCTGTTTTTTCCCCTGTTTTCCCCCTCCTTCTCGCCCTCCATCCTATCCCCTCTCCCTCCCCCTCCCTCTTCCCTTTACGTTTTATTTTAATCCTGTGAATTTTTTCTTTCTGGTTTTGTTTTCTTGAATTGTTTTATTATTTTTTTTAAGTACCGTCTCTCACGCCTCCGTGGAGGACTGAGCGTGATGTGTCCGATTTCAGACCGTTCTCGCTCTCTCTCTCTCTCCTCTGGGCGTGTGTGCGGGGAATATTGTAAACATTTTTATTTTTAATTTTTTTAAAAAAAGGAACAGAGAGACGTGAAGGTCTGGGTACACGGACAGTGTTAATGGGCCTGTCTCTCTCACACACACACGTATATTTTATGGACATTGTACCTGTTGCTTTTTATTATAATTATTATTATAATTATTATTATTATTACTACGCGCTTCGAGCGGCGAAGCTCAAAAAAAAATTTCCAATAAAAGATCTTTTTCTACAAGTTCCCTCATCGCCACCTTTCTCTGGTCGCTAGTTTGTCGCCTGCAGACGCCCTCTACCCACTCCTCGGCATTCACCCTGTGAGTGTGGAAGTGTGTGTGTGTGTGTGGGGGGGGGGAGGGTGTTGTGTCTGTGTGTATGTCTGGGTGAGTGTTTTATAAGTGTCTGTGTCAATGTATGTAAGTGCGGGTGTGTGTATGGGTGTTTCTCTGTGTGTGTGTGGGTGTGCACTTGTGTATGTGTGTGTATCAGTATGTGTGTGTGTGTGTGTGTGGGGAGGGTGGTGGTGCCTGTATGTGTGTGTATGTACGTGTCTGTGTCTGTGTGTGTGTCTATGTGTGTGTGCTTTGTGTATATTCCCGTCTCCCCCTCCCCCAACAATAGAAGGGACAACAACCTTCGGGGGGAGAGAGAAAAGCTCACCTCAGGCAGGCGGTTCAGCAGCTTAAACCGTTGTTTCTTCCCTATTTAACAAACTGTCACATTTTCAGTGTACAAAAGTTGCAGAAAGGATCATACCATGAAATGTGATTTATTCTAAGCCCACCCCTCACTATTGTTTCCACCATTTACAATGCAAATGTAAAAGATATTCTACATGTTTATTTCAATTGGGCGATTGAGTCTATTAAACCAGCGCTTACAAGGTCAGAGCACAATGGTTCCCCTGCGGAGCCCAAACACAACGCCTCCCATTCACTGCTGGTGCTTTGCCACATCGTGGCTGAACCCTCAATGTTACAGCGGAGGAGAATATCTCAATTGTGGTGTTGAGGGAAGGAGGGGGTGGGAGGAATATGTACGAAACAATAGCACCCCGCAATTTCTCCCCGTCTTGATTTATACCGGCGTTTTTTTTTCTACTGGTTCCAAAATGCGTCGTTGCTGTTGAAAATCGTCACCGGTCACATAATGTGTTTTTTACAAAAAAACATGATAAGTATGTTCACCTACAGATTTTGTCAGTCACTACACTAGGTGGCGACTCCCTGTGAGGAGCTTTAGGAACTTAGGAATAGGAGGAGGCCATTCAGCCCTTCAAGCCTGTTGCGCCATTCTATTAGACCATCGGTACCTCAACTCACATTTACCCGCCTTTGCCCCATATCCCTTGATACCCTGACCTAACAAACATCTCTGTCCACCTCAGTCGTGAACGTTTGAATGGATCCACAGCCTTTTGGGGAGGAGAGAGTTCCAGATTTCTCCTGCCCTCTAACAGTAATCCTTGCATTTGATGCACTGCCTTATCACATCTCAAAGCGCTTCACAGAGCAAACTGTAAAATATACTGTAAAAATTAATTGACTGTGTATTTTGTAGGCGAAACGCGGCAGCCAATGGTCCCACAAACAGAAGTGTCCCACAAACAGTCGTGGATTGAGTGACCAGTTTTTTTTACACACCAAGTTTACGCAACCAGTCCTCGTAAATTAACCCTTTTAGCCCTGGTATCGTTCTGGTGAACCTGTGCTTTGAGACGTTTCGACTCTGGTGTGTTCTGCAACAAAGGCAATCGATTGTTGCTGCCAGTGTTTGTGCTTTACGGCCCAACCAACACACTGGGCAGACAGCGAGAGAAGGAATCTCACTCCATTTACATTCTGTGTGTGTGCGCATCATCATGCGTGTCTAACTCCATCTCGCTAGGCCAGGGATTGGGCTGGTTTTTACAGTGATGAAGTGGCTGGTAAGTGCGTGCTGTAAAAGGCTGAGGAAAATAATCTTGACAGGACAATTATACAAAACCCTGAGTGAGAAATCTGCACTGGGTGTATTCACATTCCAGACTCCTCACAGCCGACATAAACACAGCACTGACAACCTGAGCAAAACAGTGTGAACCAACCCCAGGGACACAGAGAGGAGAGAAACATGGAGAGAGACGCCTGGGATGGGAGGGTGGGGGAGAGCTAGAGTGGGGAGAGACACATACTGGGAGAGAAAGAAAGATGGAGAGGGAGACTTGGGGAGAGAAAGATGGGGTGTGGGTTGTAAAAGGAGAGAGAGGGAGAGTCACAAAGTGAAACTCAAGCATAAAGATGAGTTCCTTCATTTGGTTTCTGATTTAAAGAAAGTAATTAAGTTTGACAACTGTTTACACCATTAAATAATATTTAAAAAAAACTCAAACGTGATCTCATTAGTTCATCAGTGAATTAGCAGCAAAATTACTCAAAGCTTTAATCAACTAATTGTTACTTTTCTGCACGGTTCTACATGATCTTGCGGGAAAGGTGAAATAGTGGCATGGAATTCATCACAGTCACAGCCTCAAGACCATCATCTCAGAAATATGAGATTGGTCTGAAATTTGGCGCAATCTTGAATTAGGTGAGGGCAGAGCGAGGGAGGTGAGGAGTCCTGGGGAGTGTAGGAGGAAGGAGTAGGGTGTGGGTGGGGTGGGGGGAAGAAGAGGTTATTCTGTGCGTGAGGAACTTCACGAAATGCAGCAAGCTTGTTGGGTTTTTATTCTTTTGCAATTTCCATAATTTATTCCTCTCCAGGAATAGGACACTCCCTCCTTCCCTCCTGAATTACTTCAGTCAAAGCTCCTTAAAGAGTTTACTTCAATAATTTGTCATGGGAGCAGCTTCCCAGCTCCTGGCTGCTGACTTTGTGGCTGGCTGGCTCTGTGCACGCCTCAGGAATATCAATGTGCTTCCAGCATTCCCGAGTTACAGCTCAGCTCTGGCGGCAGATTGTCCGACTCCCCCTCCCCACCCCCTCCCAGCCCTCCCAGCCTTCTGCCCCCTGTCCAGCTCACCCTCTGGCAGGCTGTGGGTGCACTCCGAGACCCCCGTCTCTGCCCCAATGTGTGACGTGGCTAAGACATTATTCCAAAGTTCTGGAGCCTTTCCAGGTTGGATGAAAGGCTGAGCTGGGAACCCAAACCCACCCCATATAGAGCATTGTCGCGAGGGACCAATGCTGCTGCTCACAGCTGCCTGGGATGTGATGTGAATATCATCCCCTCAGCCTGGTCCATCCCAGCCTCACATCTTTCAATCCATTTACCCGCACCCCTCTTACTTCCCAAGTACTTCCTCGGTAGCACTCTTGCCTCCGAGCCCTCCCCCCACCTCAGCCCACCATGTCGGGGACTTTGAGCACACCTGTGTGTGTGTGTGTGTGTGTGTGCCTGTGTCCTCCCCTCCCCACTCCCTCCTCTCTAAACCATCCTCCATTGTTTCTGTCTCCGCATTTTATTGCTTAATTGGAAGGAGGTGGAAAAACGCACAGATTCATAGTTTGTCAACTCCCAACTCCCAGTGTATCAGAGTTCACACGAGGAGTTACCCTGTGGAGAGATGGATCAAACAGAGCCCAGAGACACAGGGTAGACACACAGACACAGAGCTTGTCAGAGGCACCAGTGCTG